TCTCTTATATGCAGTGGCAGACAAGGAGGTGGAGCAACAGTTCTGGAGGGGCAGGGTATGAACAGGAGGAACCTATGATTGCTACTCTCTGAATGTAAACATCTTAGGAAAAGCAGTTGTGCTGCATTTTGCCCTCATGCTCTTCTTCATCTTGGGGCTGTGCCAACTCAGACTGCAGATTATTTGACATAGGTGTGCTTATGTCAAGTTCTGATAGGCTTCTAGTGCTCTCCTCTCCACAGTTGGTATCTGGAGGCATGATTGGTGCCCATTAGGCGCCAATATAAGTAGGCTCTGCAAAGAAATCAGTGGAAGGTTTTAAAATAGCCACATAAAGCTCATCACCATTTTGCTGTGTACCTATTCATTTCCATGCACATTACAGCTCGGGGAAGGATAACAAGGAGAATCCTACTTATGCCATCACGTGGTTAAGGGCCGGTGAAGCCAGGAACAAAAGAATCCTTCATTAGTGCTTGTTTCCCTAAAGTTCTTGGTTGTTATAGACGTGCAAACGAGTCCAAGTGACTCTTACTTGCTTTCCTAATTTACCTTTAGCTCTTGGAGGACTGGTTTATATCATTAATCTATAGATTAATTCAACTAAGGGCTGAATAGACTTGAAGCAGAATCTGTGTGAAGTACTCTACATGTCAAACCTAAATCTTATTTATACAGTATGAGGAAGGCTGATTTCCATGTACTCCTGAAGCCGCAGGGGTGATAGAACCTGAAATCCTGATGCACATATACCTTGCAAGAAGAATATCAATCTTCTCTCTCTCTCCTTCTCTTCTTATAGTATTATGGCATATGATAAATGTTGGCAGATACTTACTTGTCTGTATTATTTTATAGTTTCTGTGAGGGGTTTTAGTTTAGCCTGGTCAAAAGGCTAAATCAACTTGTTACTCTTAACTCTTAAGAAAGAAAACAAATAATCAATATTATTTTGTAGCTTTAAAATATGGTGGTTGATTTTGGAGAACAACTAGCTTTCTTTTTCCCAACTCTATTTTAATAGACAAGTGCTCGTTTTCTGGCATAGATTTCCCACAGACTGGGACGGACAGCCATGGTAGGTTCTAGATTTCAGGGAAATGCAGATTCGCAAGTAAGAATTTGGTGGAGGTGATTTGCATGTCGATAATCAGAAGTCAACTAAATTTTAAAACCAGTAATTGGTTTTGTCAGTATCTTTTTAACCATGCTATAGATTAATGATATAAATTCCCCAGAAATGACACTGCTTTTCTTTTAAGAACACCATTGGTTCATGTGGTTATGGTTGTCTTTCCTGGATGTTATTGACTTACTCTGAAATTTTAGGAAATATGTCTTCACAGATTAAATTTGTGCTAATGTACACAAAGGAAGAAACAATTAAAAAATTCTAAGATTTAATTTTTTTTTCAAAAGCAATGTTACTTACTCTGAAATTTTAGGAAACATGTTGTCACAGATTAAATTCATGCTAATGTACATAAAAGGAAGAAACAATTAAAAATTCTAAGATTTAATTTTTTCTTCAAAAGCAATGTTACTTTTCAAAAACCTTTCACCTTATTTTCATAAATGAGAGGTTTCAAATTCAGTTTTGTTGAAGTTTTCAGAATGATCAGAAAAGTATGTTACTAAGTTTACAGAAATTAACTCTATGGATAGACTTTCCAAATGTAAGCTTCTTGCCACCCAAAATATTTTTCCAAAGTCTTTGGTACCTCCTGTTTTATTTCAGTGCTAAGGTTTTATAAAGACTTGGTAATTATCTGGGAAATGTTTGCATGCCAACAAAAAAGACAAACCATTGGTCATTAATAGAAAAACACAAAATGTAGCTTATGTTTAGTAGTATTTTTAATGTGCATATTAGAGGTAATTTTATATTTTATATACTTAATAGATTCTACTGGATAAATTGTTCCAATCTCAGATGATTGATTGCATACATTTTTATGGTGTTTCATAAACATAATGATGTTTTAAGAGTCTTAGTCTCTTCAATTTAGTTTTAAATTCATTGATGAATTAAAGTACTCATTGTGTCTTAGTGTCTATATATGGCCACGAATTAAAACATTCTTATGTATAGTTTTATTTTCTAACTAAGGCAGAAGTGGTTTTTGAAACAATATCCTTTGGGGAAGAAAAGCATAAAATTATGAAGAAACAATATACAGATTTGCTAAATGTTCCATTCTTTAATCTTGTGTTGAGGTCTGATGAATTCTTCTAAGCCTTGAATACTTAGGTAACAGTACATTGGAAGTTGGGATCATTTAGGTTCATAGTTAAATTGCTCTTCATAGGATTTGCTGTCCTGGATGTTGGTGTTACAATTGTACTGTGTTGGATAGTTGTCTGTGAGTAGAGTTCACCAGGCTAATAACTTTTCTTTGACAGTGAAATCTATAAAATTTAAGGTTCGGGTATAGAGAAACTTTTAATTATAACTTTCTCCAAGCTGATGATCAAAGCTAGAAGGTATAAGTACCGCATCAAGGCGAACCTTTCCCTTTGACACACATACCTGGCATTTGTCACCTGTGAGGAAGTGCATGTGTCCAGCTGGGCTGCTGGCTTGAGGCTGTGTGCCTTAGTCTGAGTCATATGGTAACTGCATCAGCCATCACAGTTTATACCATTTTATTACTTCCTTTCTGAAGATTGGTCATTTGGGAATTTCATAATCCTTTCTTGTAAATTAAACTTTGTCTATGAATATAGGCATCCCTGTGGAAAGAAGTAGATGACCTTAGTTCTTTAAAGTTTCTGAGCCCCTCTCCTCCCTTCCTCCCTCCATTCCTCCCTCCCTCCTTGCCTTCCTCCCTTCCTTCCTTCTGATGAGATCTTGCTGTGTAGCCCAGTCTGGCCTCAAACTTGTAATTCTTCTGCATTACCAACTGTGTGCTGGGATTACAAGTGTGTGCCACCATGCCTGGCTATAATTTTTTTTTTGCATTGCTGAGGATTGAATGCAGGGATTTACACATGCTGGGCAAGTGTTTTATCACTGAACCACATCCCCCCTCAAATTCTTTAATAGTCTAAAGCTCAGAGCTGTCTCTAAATGTATCAACCTGTGTTTATAGAAACAAGGAAAGTTAATCTCTGAGTAGTTTCATTTCCCTGGTTTGTATGAGTCATAATTTTATAAAATTCTGAGGAGCTCTGCTGCTTACTCCTGTGACCATTTTATAATAGCTGTGAAGAAACAGATCATTAGGAGAAAATGGGACAGATTTTCCTATTTAATGTGCCACTAATTAATTCCATTTTAGGACTTCTTACAGTGTGTAAGCCATAAAAATGTATGTAGGGCATTTATTTTTGGCAACTTTACAAAAATTGTAGTGATGGTTGCCCATGAAAATTTCCTTATCCATCAATGGAAAATAGACCTCAGAAACTTTCTGGAAGTATATTCTATTCCAGGTTTAAAATTTCTTTCATTTAAAATGCAGTTTTGTATAGTTTTTAAATGTAAAATATAAAATATGGGACATTGGCTAAAATTTTATGCTGAAAGTATTGAGATATATACACATTTATTAAATAAAATTTAAAATCTGTATGTGTCCAGGCTAATTTATGTTAAGTAGGAAGAATGTGACTCAACCTCAAGATATTAGAAGGAAATAAACTATACAGAACTGTTTAGCAACATGATACTAACACAACTAGGGAGAAAATAATGATGTTTGCTATTCTTTAATGACTTATTTATTTTACCTTTGTTTAAAATAATTTTTAATATTTTCCTGATAAATTAGATAATTCAAAATTGGCAGTGAAAATTACTAAAGAAACGGTATCCTTTTATATTTTTTCTTTCTCATGCATAATCATAGTCACAAACACTTTTCCTTAATATATGATCCAGATGGAATTTATGCTTTGGTTTATTTCCAGCTGTTTGCTTAGATTATTCTTGATATGTTTTGTTATTCTATTTTAATAAATGTGTCAACAATGGATATGGTGAGTTCTTTTAAAATTGAAAGCAACAGTGAAAACACAAACCTAACTAACATGAAAAAAAAAAAAATCTAGCCAGCATATGTTATGTGTGCCTTTAAAAATACAGAACAATCATTCTGGATCACTAGTTAAGTTATTGCTTCTAATGAATCAAATTGGACTCAGAATGTTTTTCTTTTATTAGCCCCTCCTCTATTCACCTATATAAATTAAACAAATAAATATACAAAAAATCATTACTTAAAGTAGACATCTTATGTTTTAAAGAGGGAGAGAGAGATATGTGAAAATCGTCTCTTCCCTTACCTCTAGGAATCTAGGCTGGTTGAACACTGGCCATCATTTAGCAGTGTTATATGTTTCTTCCCTTTACTTTCATTTAACTGGGTTATTTATGCACCCTCAAGTGAAATGGCTGAGCTTTCACGGTCAATTCTTGTTGCTATTGACAACCAAAGCAGCCATGCAAGAAGAAAATTCTATGAAAGGGAAGGAAAAAAAAAAAAAACCTTAATATTCCCCCCAAAGTTGGAGAGGAAAGGGGAAATACAGTATGAGAAACAGGTAAGTAACGATGCATCAATTTAAAAACTGTCAACCCTGGTTACTAATTGATCAAAAGTTTTAATATTTTTCAGATGTTTTGTCCAACTCTCATTTAAATTAAAAGGATACTGTCTCTTGGAACCAAAAATTAATATTCCGAAAACGAAAAATTGGATTGGAAGATACAGTGTCATTAAAGGTCTGACATATTTTCATTAGAATTTGGACTATAGAAGAATAGCATAACTTCAATTATTGGTCAATATTTTTGTTACAAAATGTTTTAATAACAAAATGGTGACTAAAATATTACTATTTTAAACATGTCCTAGATTTTTTTTTTGTTTCAGAAAAGCACTGAAAGTTGAATATGTGTAAGTCTCCGGGAATGTAACAAGTTGATAAATACCCAAGTCCAGCCTTCTTACAGAGAAAAGATCTGGAATTTCTTTTTTTGGACATTTGTTTTGCAGCTTTCTACGTCTTAAGGCAGAGAATAGCAAGGATAAGGTGCCAACTCAAAGGTTAGATGAACATATTTCTTGAAATAATTTTGGCTAATCTATGTCTTAAAAGGCATAACTTCTAAATAATAACTCTCTAAAGCTATAAATAAAACAAGTTTTTTGGGGAAAACTATACTCCTTAGAGATGTGCTTATTCTGTTTTTAATTATACTAAGTTAATTTAATTCACCTACTACATTAAGCTTTTCCCTTTCAGTTTATAATTCCTTTCTTTTGTTTTATAAATCTAATAAATTGACCTCCATTCTAACCTAAAGGACAGTTTAAATTTTTAACACTTAAAGAAGCAAATATAAATAAAGTCCATCAATGAAATTACTAATACCAGCCTATCATTAACCTGAGGGAATGTGTTTCCTATTCATTAATTCTTCATGGAACAATTCAGGTAAGAAACACTTTTATTATATATAATATACAAGCTATTTTGATAACACCTGTGGGTCTTCATGCTGTTATTTTGATATACAAAACATTTCTTGTTTAAAATCTTTTGGGCAGGGAATAATGTCACTTAACAAAGCACCCTATTACATTTTTTAGTTGAAAATTTTAGAGAAATTCTAATGTTCAAAGAATTGGTTCCAAGAAGACAATGTACTTTAATTGATAAAAAATACTATCCTATCTCATAGAAGATGTTTTAAAGTTAATATTTTAATACAAAACATTTGAGAACCAAATTGATAGTACTAGAAATAAAAGTTGAAGAATTTCTTTGTTGTGGGAGATTTAAAAACATATTTGTATGTATATGTTATAGTTAGTGGTAGTTATAGGCTTGGCTAGAAGAGGTATGACTTAGGTTAGCAGGGCAATGCCAACGAAAGTGTGGAACATGTGTTTTGCCACTAACAGATTTGAGTTTGGGATCTGTTCCTATGAATTACCAACTAGGAGAAACTAAATATTTTGTTTTTGTATGTGTGTGGGATTTGAACTCAGGACTCTACACTTGCTAGGTAGAGGCTCTCCTACTTGAGCCATGCCTCTAGCCCTGGTAGGTCTGGTTACTTTGACATTAGAATCTCACTTTTTGTCCAGGCCAGCCTGGACTGCAGTCCTCCTATTTTATGCTTCCTGCTATCACTTGGATGACAGGTATGTGCCACTATGCCAGGCTTTTTTGCATTGAGATGGGATATCACTAGCTTTTTTGCCTATTCTGGCCTCAAACTGTGATCTTCCCGATGATCTCAGCCTCCCCAAGTAAGTAGGACTACAGGTGTGAGCCACCGGCGCCTGGCTTGTTTAACTTTTTTGAGGTGTGAGTTCCTAATGTTTAAACCTACTTTAAAAGATTGTTGCTGGCCATAAGAAAACGCTTCCTATAGAACTTCTTTTTTTTTTTCCCTGTAAGAGGATATCACTGTGTAGTCCAGTCTGGCCTAAAACTTGCGGTCTTCCTACCTCATCTCCTGAGGCTGAGATTAAAGATGAATCCCCTGTGCCTGATTTCATAAACCAGCACTTGATAAATGCTCACTATTATTAGTGTGTGGCTAATAGGTAGAATACAAAGGAGAACTCTGAGCTGTGGTTTACTAGGTTCTGTCATAGGATACATCGTATAACATGTAATTTATTTTATGTAATTTTAAATCTATTTTGTTTGCCGTTTTCATCATTTGGAGCTAAATAAGCAATTGAAAGTAGAAATTTTCTCCATTTGTTCCTTTCCAAAATAAAACCTTTCACTGGATAACTCTCTGTGCCTCCGCACCATTTACTTCCCATTTCTCGAATAATGTCTCTCAACAAACCTCAGAGCAGAACACTTTTGATTTTTTAACACTGTTTGTACTTGGAAAAGGAACAAGAAAGAAATAGAATTGAAATACGGAACCTTAGCATTTAGAGTTACTGTGATTTATCTGACAAACATTTGAGAGCTTACTGGATGCTAGGAGCTGAGTTAGGCATTGGGATGATATAAAGATTAATGAAGCATGGACTCTTAAGTTCAAGGAATTCAATTTGGTATATTTCTTTATATAGTTTTAAAATAAGAAAGAGTTAGGGATAAAAAGTTGAGGGAATTCAAGGGAAGAATCACTTCCTGCTGGGAAGGATCAAGGAAGAGTTCATGGACTCAGTGGTGTTCAGTTAATTTATTCATTCAATCCCTGTGAGTGCTGTTACTTGCCTGATCCTACATCCACCACTGCATATATTATCCCAATAGTGAAGGTCGAGGCATTTGTGTTGCTCACTCAGATAATGACAACACTGGATGAGAGATGTGTTTTAATATGGCATGTTTTGGTATAGGATACTGTGAAGCCCATCTCAGGAAGCAGTATACTAGGACTTGGATAAGCGGTGATAGCACAGCCTAATTCTGAGGAATAAATAAGTCAAGATCTCAGAAGCTAGAGTGAGGGGCACATTCCAGGAAATGTAAGAACCTAATGTAGCTAGGGGGTAAATGCTTGAAGAGTGTCTGATAAGAGATGCGTTGTAAGAAGTAGGAATGGGCTGACTCATCGAAGGCTTTGACCCAAAGGTGTAGAGGAATAGTGTAAAGATTTTAAGTAGGGAAGTTACATAATATTTCGAAGGACATCAGCTGCTGCTTAATGGGTAAGATCTGGTATGCATGTGAATTTAGTTTTGCTCAGAGTGTTTTAACATATTTTTGAAGTAGTTTACAGTGTTTCACAGGAAACATGGATATCAGGTTGTGTTGAAAACTCCCTTGCTCTGCAATGCTGCCTGGAATCTGTGGGCTGGGGCTTCTGAAGCAGCTGCCCATTGGGAGAAGCCTGTGCTCCATTTCACTGTGGCTCTTATTCTCTTCAGGGCAAATGCCTGGGACTTGCATTTGAGGCTTAGGGCCAATTTCAGAGCTTCCTCTTTGGCAGTTAGACAATAACTACTTGAAGCTCAGGACTAGAGGCTCTTACAGTCAACCTGGTGAGAAATCAAACATTTAAGTAGTGGTAGTAGAAACAGAGGAATAAGGATTAAAAAATACTAAAAAGAAGAGATGGAGAGTCACACAGCATTAGGGCAGCGATGGATAACTGGCTGACACTACAAATTGTGTATTTCAGAAATGCTAATTTTCTGAGTTACAGCCTCATTTTGGTAAGATGTACATAAGAGTCATACTTCATAGGACTTTTAAATGAGGATCAAATGAGAAAATATTCACAGAGCTCTTGGCTCAGAGACTGGCTCATGTTCATATTAGGTACAATGGCTGCAGTGGTGGCGATGGTTGCAGTGTGAAGAGATGGGATCAAGGAGGCCCCACAGGTTTCTACCTGGTTATTTGCTGAGCTAGAGATCCTAAGAGAAAGTGCACACAGTAATGCCAATTTTGGATGTGTTCGGTCTGAAGAGTTGTGAGACTTTGAAGTGGAAAAGTTTGATGTGTGGTTGGATTCCAGGGTGGAATCTGAAGGAACATTGGCTGATTCAGTTTCCTTCCACCACCATCCTATTCAACCCTTCCTTCACCATCAGCCAGCACTGATGATCACCACAAATAACCTCAACAGAGGATCAGCTTTAGACAATAGAAGAAGAATGTGGGATAGTTACAGTACTGTGATCCACATTTGATGAGATGTTGTCTAATAGTTTTGAGTTCTTGAAAATAATTTTTCCACCTTACCATATGGTCCTACAATTGAAAGAAACAAATCTCTCTATATATTTGTTTTTATTAAGGACTAAAAAATCCATCCTTTCAGAAAGGCCCCTTTTGGTTGGCCTTTTCTATTTTAAGTCACTATTACTCTTAATTCTAGGCAAATATTTGACTGCAAACAAATCATTGTGAGGAAAGGATGACTAAATTTATTTTTAAAATTTGTAATTTCTCCTAAATCGACCAAGTCCTACCTCAATGCTACTTTGTCTTCTATGTCATCCAGACTTTCACAGCCTGTCCCTTCCCTACACTTTGTTGCAATGCTTACATGGAGCCCTACTGTGGCTCTTTGTGGACCTATATCATTTGTTCTGCTAGATTGTTCATCCCATAAAGGGGAGAATCATGTCTTACATATCTTTATGCTCAATATAATAGCTTCTGCAGTCAATTCAGTACACTTTTAAAGACACAAGGGCTAGGCATTTCTATATGAAAAGAATAAGAAATAATGAACAAGATGTGTTTCTTTTAGGAAAGAAAGTCTGTCGGGAAAATGAGTATATTTTGAATGTCTGTCTTTTGACCTTAGTGCATATACAGTATAACTCTTTCTTAAAAGTTCTAAAAAGTCAGTTTACATGCTTAAAAACACATAAATGTTATCTGACTGTGTCAGCTACTGTTTATAACCCACAGTTGGTTCACAGTCACAGAGAGAATATTGACTTTAGTACAGGCTCTTCAGACTGACAACTGCCTTCAGTTGGAAACAGTGTTTGTCTTTTGTTGTTGTTGTTGTACGGTCCCAATCACAGTGGACTGCCCTTGTGTTTTAGACCCTCGGATGCTTCCTGCCTTTCTGGCCTTTCTTATGCTGTTCATTCTGAGTAAACGTTCCTTTACCAATCCACATGGTGAGTTCTTGTCCCATCCATTAAGATTCAGCTCACAGTTCCTCTTGAAGGCCTCCCCTGGCATCTTTCCTACTTCTCCCTCCCTGTAGAGGAGGGAGTATTCTTTTAATATTTTGTACACCTGTCATGGCTGTCTGTGTCAGAAGACTATGTGCTGTTTCAGAGGTGGTACTGTGTATTTAAAGAACTCATAGTCCTGGAGCTAGATTTTTAAAAGCCATGAATATATAGCATGAACTGTCTATATATAAAAATCAATGCTTGCATTTATATAATTTATGATAGAAGTATATGCAGAGGCCTATGAAGCACCAAGGAGGTCAGTACACTTAGCGCAAGGGGCAAATGCAAATCTTGGAGATGGTAATGGTTAAATCGTGTATTGAAGCCTGACTGGATGTGACTCCAGCAGAGAAAGGAATGAATGGCATTCCATGTGACAGTGCAGAGGTAGTGGAGGCTCTAGAGTATTAACTAGT